AAAAAAAAAAAAAAAAAAAAAAAAAGAAAAGAAAATAGCTGAAGAAGGTTCCTGAAAACAGCAATGCTTACCCAGCAATGCCAAACTCACTGATAAGGTTGCCCTTTACAGAAATAAGATATGCGAGTATTGAGAGCAACAAGGGGAAACAAAGCTGTCTACAGGATCCTGGTGGGGGTCCTCTTTTTATTTACAATAAAGAGCTTTATGCAATGGACTCTTGGGTTATAATGAGGCTTAAAGGGAGAAATAGAGTGGTCTCAATGCCACTGTGGCTAAATAAGATTGCTAACCTTTCCAAATCTTGATTTCTTATTTTATAAATGAAAAATAACAGTAGCCTTCAAATGCCAACTTTTCAAGATCCCAACTGCTACTGAGAAATACTCCCAAAGACATGGGAAGAATCGTCTATTGATTCAAACACAAAAGGTGTTTGGGTCATCAACCCCGTGCTAATGGTTCAAGAAATTTAAAACAACATAATTAGCTCCCTGAATGTCTAGAACGAAACAGAGCCCATCCTCTCTATGTCAGACCTGTGGCCCTCATCCTGTCCCCAGAGGCATCTTCAAAACTTTTAAAAGTACAGATTCCTGAAAACAACCCTTGGAGTTGATGACTTAGGGCTAATGTTGAGAACCACTCTGCTAGGCACTCACCTTGGTATCTTAATGCAGTCCAAGCATTCCAACGCAGTCCTCAGAGCATCTGCCACTTTATGGCATAAAAGTTCTGTGGTATTCTTCCTGAACTATCCCAACTCCATGGCCTGAAGATTTTAAAGAAATGCAAAGCATCTTCCATTCCCAGCTGAGGCTGGACACACCTGAAATAGGTAAAAGTGACAGAAAGACTGGATGGTATCAAACACCCTTCTGTGTTTCCAGGAAAAGGGCTCAATCTGAAACACAATTTTTCATATCTTCCTTTCTACTTCCTAAGCATTGGTGGTTCAGTTAACAAATGGTGCCTGAGAAGCAGTGTTGACACCTTAATGCAATGAATGTCCAAGGAAATAAGACGACCTCCTGACCTGCTTTTCACACCCCCACATATGCCTGCCTTGAGAGCTTGGCTTCTCAAGGCCATGAAAAATCAGCTCTTCATTCATTTCCCTAAAAAAAAAAAAAAGTTTATTTTCTGCCTCCTGTGTACGAGCCCTGTTCTAGGCACTGGGGACACAGTAGTGAGCGAAACACATAAAGTTCCTTCTATTTTTGGCTTACAGTCCAGTTAAGAGAGACAAGTAAAAAACAACAAAAAGGTAGTGTCAAATTATCGTGACTTCAATGCAAGAACTTAAAAATATGTTGTAAAAAAGAGTGAAGGGGGCGGGTGCGGTGACTCAGGCCTGAAATCCCAGCACTTTGGGAGTGAGGCGGGCAGATCATAAGATCAGCAGTTCAAGACCAGGCTAGCCAAAATGGTGAAACCCTGTCTCTACTAAAAATAAAAAAAAAAAATTAGCTGGGCATGGTGGTGGGTACCTGTAGTCCTAGCTCCTCGGGGTGGCCGAGGCAGGAGAATCACTTGAACCTGGGAGGAGGAGGTTGTAGTGAGCCAAGATCACGCCACAGCACTCCAGCCTGGGCAACAGAACGAGATTCTGTCTCAAAAAAAACAAACAAACAAACAAAAAGAAAGTGAAGGGTAGAGTCACAGAATAGTCAAACACATTGCAGAAGCAGAGAGCTGAACGGTGGTTGTCAGGGCCCCAGGGGATGGGATAGGGATGTTGCTGTTCAACAGGTATAAAATTTCAGTTACGTGAGATAAGAAAGTTCTGGGGATCTGTGGTACAGTATTATGCCCATGATAAACAATACTGTATTGCACAGTTAAAAACTTGTTAAGAGGGTAGGTTTCACATTAAATTTCTTACCACAATGAAAAAGATATTAAATAAATAAATAAGTGAAGAGCATGAAGCAGGGCATGGGAGTAGGTAGGGAGATGAGGAGTCGTCAAGGGGGGCCTTCCTTCCTTCCTTTTACTTCTGCCTCAGAAGGTAACATCTGAGCTGAGCTCAAGGAGAAGAAAGAACCAGCATGAAGAGAGCCCACAGAAGGAGCAATGTGACAGCTGAAGCCTAACAGAAAGCAGAAGACACTCAAAAGGGACTATGTGCAAAAGTGCAGGCAGAGCTTAATCAAACTAGCTGCCCAGGGCCACCCAAAGTGGGGGGAATCATGATCACCCCTGGCCTGCAGGAACAAAGGGAGGAGTGGCTACCACAAGATGGAGAGGACCCCTGATAGGAGCTGTGCACTTTGGTAAAGGGATACAACCATCCTCAGGTGACTAGCCAGCAAGGAAGGAGCAGGGGTGGGGGTGAGTAAATGCCCTGAATAAGTATCTCCTCCCTACTCTCTCTGATCTCCTACTAGTGCTTCCTTCCCATTGGCCAATTCCAAAAGGAAGACAGGAAGCAAGAGTGTTCATCGATGCAATTCATACCATCAGCCTACTGGCACACAGAACAAGATGAGAAAGACTGAAGATTGGGTCTAGAAGGGCAAATGGAAGGTATCAGCATAAACACCAAGTGCAAAGGCTTGAGATAGGAAATAGCATAGCCTGTTCAAGGAGTAGAGGGGCTACTGCACTGGAGCTTCTTAGACAAGGTATAGGATGTAACAGAAGATAGGACGCAGATCATGTGGGGCCCCATATGCCATAGTGAGGTGCTTGTATTTAATTCTGTGTCCAACAGGAAGTTGTTTAGAAGGTTGGGATTAGGAGATGGAATCAGACCTCACTTTTAAAGACGACTTTTCCTGCTGTGTGAGTGTGTACTATAATCTCGGTAAGGATGGAAGCAGGAAGCAATCAGCGCAACAGGGGTGCAAGTAACTCACCCCAGAACTCACATGTACAGAGAAATGAGACTTCTGCTTTACCTAGATCTGATCTATTCTTGCTCGCTAACTCCTATGCACTACAGAAAAACAAAAGAGCAGGGGATAACCTTAAGATCAATGCAATAATTTAAATCTTTCTTCTAGGTAAAACTCGGCCTCTTTGGTTAAACATACTTAGTCTCTAGATTTCAGCACCATCACTGGGCCCCAGGACACTACTGCGGAGAGAGAAATGTACATGACCTTGCAGGTTTTGGGGAAAAGGTCCTCAAAACCATGCAGGGTCTTTTGGCTCCCCAGCAATGTGCCTTGTTCCCCTTGTCATTAGCCCTCAATGGTGTTATTAGCACTCAATGGTGTCATTAGGGGCTATGGCTGAGGCTGCAGCTGGCAGGCGTCTTGGTCTATGCTCCCTCTCAGCTCGGCTGGACCTGATGACTCCTTGTATGACAACCTCATTCATCTCAGCTCTCACAGGCATCACAAAACTCTCTAAGTCTCTGTAAGTCCCCTATCTCAACAGGCCTATGCAGGCCTTATCAGCTCTCAAGTCTGCATTCATGCCTTGGGAGAACAGAGAAAGTCTTAAAGATGCAAATTAGACCATCACTCTCCCTGACCACATCTCTCAATTTATTTCATGTGGTTACCCTGCAGGTTTGCCAAGAAGGTCCCTCAAGGAGCTTCCAGGTGACATTTTTCCAGTGCCCCAGGCTGGAAGCAAGGAAGGAACCTCTCTGCCCATTTTTATTTAGGAATTTAACAGACTTCTCATTGTCCAGGATTGAGATCAGAAGGAAGATCAGAGTACTGAACTCACCATCTATCTCCTCTGACCCCCTTCTCTCTTCCTTCTCCAAAACTCTATTCGGGCTGGAATGCAGGCTTCATTATCATAGCCCTCAACTTCTGAACTGCAGCCTCATTACTGGTGAATAGAATGAACATTCTATTAATATATGTTATGGTAGAAATTTATAGTCTAATTTTCCAGGCCTAGTTCCTTGCTACAAAAATGAAAAATAAAAACATTTATAAAATCCTTTCTCTCCCTACTAGTTTTTAAGCCTACTGTCTTTCCACAGAACTATATTTTTGGATGTCTTAGCTCTTCCTTTCAGTTGGCATTCATTTATCTCATCTCAGAGGCAGACATATTCAAGAAAAAGGAAAGCACATGAAATTTTTCCAAACCATGGCCATTATTACACCTGCTAAGAAGCTATTCTAATGTCCTAGGTAAGAAATAACCATAGCTTGATACCTGTTGGCAGTGGAATAGAGGGCAGGAGATATAAGTAAAAGGAAGTAGGATGAGGAAATATTTTGGAGGTAGAACAGAATTGGCTGATGGATTAGACAATAGCGGTAAAGAAAGCTGAGGAACCAAAAAAGACTCGTAAGTCAGTAACAGACAACTGGTTGTCCATTTTTACAGAAATGGGGAATCCTGGGGAAGAAACTGGTGTGTGGTGGGAAAAGTTAGGGATTCTGCTTGACCTGTGAAATTGAAATTCCAATGAGATATCCAAGTAATATGAAATAGGCCGCTCAGATGAGAAGAGATGAGGATAAAAATTTGGGAATCAGCAGCATACAGATGGTACGTAAAGCCCAGTGTACAGTAAGAAGAAAGGCTCCGTCTGTGCATGGAAGGCACCGGGGCAGAAAGCCTCCATAGGCCAGCCCATGTCAGGCCAAAGAAGAAACCCCAACCACTCCCAAACCTCCCTCAAGCCAAGCTCTCAAATTCAGCATAACATTTAAGATCCAGAATCAGGTACCACAAACCTATTTTGAATTGAGCAATAACCAGAGAGGAGGGAGAAAATGTATATGTTTAAACTAGGTCATCATTATTGTACAGGCTTTTGTTCCAAAGAAAGTTAGAAATATTTATTTGGGACCAGTCATCATGGAGAAAACTCCCTGTGAAGCAGGAGACCAACAAGAAACAGCATTTTCTAATAGTTTGGACTGTTCCAACAACAAAGGATCTTGTGATATAGCAACTTTTTGGCCCAGAAGCCACCTGGAGGGTTGGTTCTCTAACCAGTCAAATTAAACTTTGCTTTATTTTCTGGCCATGTTCTCTAACATTTTTGCTGCTGGAAGGAACAGAGAGAAAAGAACTCAGGCCTCTCTACCTTTACGGGGGAAAAGGGCCAAAGCAGGGAGCTTGAGGAGGGGTGAAAGAAATACTGTTCCCAAGGAAACAGCCCCACCTGCTGAAACAAATTTCCATCTGGGTTTGGGAGGTAAGGGGGTAAGATTTGAATTTTTTCAGGAATTATTACTACTTAACAACTATAACCTTCTTGCTCCCTCTAGAGGGCAAAGGTATGAATAACATGACTATAAAGAAAAAAAATATTTTAATAGAAGCCATGGCTTCATTTTTATCTGTACCTTTCTTCATCACTTTGAAATGAGTATTTCCAAAGATAGAAAAAACAAAGGCATTGAATTAAAATTCCTATGGCACTTTCCACATACTTTGACATTTGAAGCCCAAGAATTGGGGGTGCTTTGCAAGTAAAGCCAGCTCTATGGCACTAATCAAATACTTAAGACTGGCCTTGTAAGAGGGAGAAAGGGTACAATATTGCATTGTCTTTATTAATCTATTTCTCTAAAGAGCTAATCATTTATTCTGGAAACAGAAGGATTCTGTGAGATGGTGTTCCTTTGCATGCAAATTCATTCTAGAAGAATTGTGTCTGGACTTTGAGGTTTTCTGAATTGTAATGAGGACATCACTGTTGCCAGGCAACTTTGTACTCTGGATATAGGTGCACATGAAAGTTAAATTACCTTATTATTCTAATCAATCTACTCTGACAGTAGTCATGGTATAACAATTTGTCTACCTAGATCCAGTAGCCAAATGAAGGAAACAAGTCCAGGAGTCAAAGACAATAAACGTTAATAAAGCCAGTTCTCACAAGACCATTCTCCAAGGTTTCAGTACAATGGTTCCAAAGTAGCACTGAGACTAATTTTAAAAAGCTTCATTTCAGCCTAATGATTTTGCAATAGAACAGACACTGATAACTTTAGACAAAAGGAGTCATATCTCAGAGCTGTAGTTCAATTTGGGTGACTGTTTTATAAACACACAGACAGACGGTAAATTGCTTTAGCTTTCAAGATTATTGCTGCAATAATTATTCTTTCAGAAGAACAAACATTTGTCGCCACAGGCAATGAACAGATAGTAAAAGACAAATCACACCATGACAAAGTAAAAATAGCAGAAAGAGAACATTACAGGTGATTCCATGCAATTTAGCATGTGACGAAAATGGCATCTCAAGCCACTGGGGCAAAGTTGTACTTTTTAATAAATGGTGCCAGGACAACTGGAAAGCCAGTTGGAAAAAATAAATAAAATTAGATCCGCATTTCATGCCACACAAAGGAATAAACTCCAAATGTATCAGAGATCCAAGTACAAAAAAATAAAATTATACAAATACTAGAAAAAAACATGACTAAATTACTCTCCAATCTCAGTGTAGAAACTAAAACTTAAAATAGAGGCAATAAAAGATAATTTGACCACACAAAAATGAAATATAACAAACAGTAAAACAGCAACACCACCATCACAATAAACAAAGTCAAAAGACAACTGACAAACTGTGAGAAAATATCTGCAACAGACATATCCCTAATATGTAAAGAGCTTTTGAATATCAAGGGAGAAAGGACCAAAAACCCAGTATGAACAGACAACTGAACCAAAACATATCAAATGAAATACACCAAATGGCCCTTAAATATATGAAAAAAAATGTTAGCATTACAAAAATGCAACCAGGCATGGTAGCTCACACCTGTAATCACAGCCCTTTGGAAGGTTAACGGAGGGGGACTGCATGAGCCTAGGAGTTTGAGGCCAGCCTGGGCAACATAACAAGACCCCATGTTTAAAGAAAAAATTTTAAAAATTAGCAGAGTGTGGTGGTGCACACTGTAGTTTCAGCTATTTGGGAGGCTGAGGTAAGGGATCACATGAGTCCAGGAGTTCAAAGGTGCAATGAGCTATGATCATGCCACTGCACTCCAGCCTGGGGAACAGAATAAGACTCTGTCACAAAAAGAAAAAGAAAAAAGAAAGAAAAATGGACATTAAAACAACACTCAGATGCCATTTCTTATTTATCAGATTGGCAAAAAAATACAAAGTATGACAATACATTCTGCTGTCAAGGCTGTGAGAAAATATTCTTGTACATTGCTGGTAAGAATGAAGATTGGTATAGCCCTCCTGGAAGAAAATTTAACAACTCTTAGTAAAATTATAGATGCACTTAACTTTTGTCCTGGCAATTCTAAGAATCTACTCTGAGGTTAAACCTCCAACAATATAAAATTAGTATGCACAAGGTTATCTACTACAGCACTATAATTACAAAATATTGGAAACGACCTAGATGCTCAATGTTCATACATAGAAGAGTGGTTGAATAAACTATGATGCAGCCAACACAATGGAATACTATATAGCTATAAAGAAGAATGAAGATCTCCATGAACTTATATTGAGTGATTTTCAGGACACATTAAATTTAAAATGCGAAATGTGAAAGAGTATCTATAGTATGCTACCTTTTATGCAAAACAGAAAGGAATCTAAATGTATATATATATATATATTTCATATGTATATTCACTTGTACAAAATAATAAACCATAAATTAATGAGACTGGATAAGAGTAAGTGGGAACAGGGCAGAAAGGAATAGGAAAAAGAAACAGGGTAGCAGTGATAAAGGGGGAGTAAAACTTTTCTTAAGCATACCTGCTCTTAAAATCATATAGTGTTTCACATACCCCCAAAATAAATAAATGATTAAAATAAACCCGGACGTGAGGGGGACAACCAGAAATGGAATAAAGAGTAACTAGTGAACTTAATTGTACTGCAAATGAATAATATGACAAATGAAGAGGGTGAGAAAGCTATCCTAAGTATTCTATTACAAAAAAAAAAAGGAACTATATATGTGTGTATATGTGAGTTAACATACATATATGCATTTTCAAGCTCTGTCTTCTGAGAAGCAGTGAGCACACCTAGCTCTAGGATCTTGGTTTCTAAATACTTACTAGTCTCTAATTAAAGGAACCAAAGCTCCTTGGAGAAATTGTTGATTTCAGGCCTAGAACAGAAAATATAGATGAGCCTGGAACAGCTTCTGATGCCAGAAAGGAGTGCACAAAAAATGACAGGGGTCTGCTAAAAAAGGACATAAGAGGCCCAGCGCGGTGGCTCACACCTATAATCCCAGCACTTTGGGAAGCCACGGCAGGTAGATCACCTGAGGTCAGGAGTTTGAGACCAGCTGGTCAACATGGTGAAACCCCATCTCTACTAAAAATATAAAAATTAGCCAGGCATGGTGGCAAGCGCCTATAATCTCAGCTACTCGGGAGGCTGAATTGCTGGAACCCAGGAAGTGGAGAATGCAGTGAGCCGAGATCACACCATTGCACTCCAAACTCGGCCAACAACAGCGAGACTCTGTCGCAAAAAAACAAAAGGACACAGGAGTTAACTAGAAGGAGCTCCTAACGGCTAAGGTGGAAACACTTTGAGCAATAATATACACAATGATAGTAACAGATTATGCCCATAAGTCCAAATTGATTTTTAAAAATCAGCATTTCAAATTAATAAATGTGAAAAAAAATGATGGAAACAAATAATCACTACTAAGCAAATATAGCTAATAACTGTTGCAGGGAACTATCAATGGATGATAAAATTAGTGGACAAAAGTACAAGAAATAGGATATTTCCATAGTGTCAAAGTATCCACCTAAAAGATACTTATTAATTACAAAAGGAACAATCGTCACCTTATAGTGCAGAAACCTGACAAACACTATCTCAATAAAGTGATCAAAGTAAACATCACCTAGGCTAGGTGCAGTGGCTCACACCTGTAATCCCAGTACTTTGGGAGGCTGAGGCAGGCAGATTACTTGAGGTCAGGAGTTCAGGACCGGCCTGGCCAACTTGGTAAAACCTTGTCTCTGCTAAAAATACAAAAATTAGCTGGGTGTGGTGGCACACACCTGTAATCCTGGTGGCTAAAGCAAGAGAACTGCATGAACCCAGGAGGCGGAGGTCGCAGTGAGCCAAAATTGTACCACTGCACTCCAGCCTGGGTAACAGAGTAAGACTCCATCTCAAAAAAAAAAGTAAACATCACCAGTAATAAGACATTTGAAATCATGTACCCCTTGACATCACACCAAGAAGGGCATAGCATCATTTCTGTGGGATTATGGCGAAAAATGCATAATCTCACTCTAATCATGAGGAAACAACAAACAAATCCCAACGGATGGATGGTCTACAAATAAGTGCCCAGCACTCTCCAAAAGTTGTCAAGGTCATGAAGGACAAAGACTGATTAGACAGACTACAGAGACAAGACAACTAAATGTACTATGGAATCCTGGTTAGATCCCAGACCAGAAGGACATTAGTGGGGAAACTGTTGGAATTTGAATTGTTTGCAGATTAGTTTATAACGTCAATGTAAATTTCCTTATTTTTAAAAGTCTTTTCTGTAAGCCTATACATATTTCAAAATAAAAGTTTTTTTGAAGCTTGGAAAAAAAAGTGGCTCCATAAGGTGAAAATATTGTACATTTCTGAAGGGAGTGGCCATGTGGAAGATCTTACTGTTCCTGGATTTAAGTTCTACAGATATTAATGTATAAATTCTGTAGGAGGAATATTGGACACTAGAAATCAGAACGTTTTGCTTAAAACATAAAATAAAATATAACCTATTTGTTTAGCATATTTGGAAAAAACAGGAATAATAATGTGCTACTTGTGGTTTTTCTATTTTCAGGGCTATAACTTTCAAGTCAGTAAAGCAGTCACTGAATGTACACTATGTGCTAAGATTTGAGCTGGGTCCTACTAACTCCACAAAATTTTATTGGACATCTCTTGTGTACCACAAGTGAGAGGTGCAAATCCTTTTGGTCTCACCCCTTAGTTAATGCTTGCCTGGACAGACTTAAGCAATAGGAGAGATGTCAACAGACATGTTTTCTCTTTTTGTTCGCAAACAGTTCTGAGACACATTTAAAAGAAGAGTCCAACAAGATTGAGTACCAGTCATCCAATTTAGCAACTCAATAACACATCATGGTATTCCCCATCCACCACCACCCCCAATTCCCTGTTCAATTCCCCTGATCCCTCACTTTAGCACAATGGGATCACTACCAAGTAAACTACTTGCTTATCAGCCTTTGTTCTAGACCAGGGGATGGCCAATCTTTTGGCTTGCTTCCCTGGGCCACATTGGAAGAATTGTCTTGGGCCACACATAAAATACACTAACACTACTGATAGCTGATGAGCTAAAAAATAAAAATAAATTTAAAAAAATCTCATGTTTTAAGAAAGTTTACAAATTTGTGTTGGGCCACATTCAAAGCCGCCCTGGGCCTCATGGGGCTGGCAGGCCCCAAGTTGTGCAAGCTTCTTCTGCTTTGGAGGATGTAGGGAATGGTGGGAAGTAGGAAGAGGATGATAGAGACCGAAGCCAAGAAAAAGGTACAAACTTGCCCTTAAGGGCAAGTTTCAGGACAAACTTATCAAGGACAAATATGGAATAGATATCAATCAACAGGAATACATTATTAAATTCACAAAATACTTATAAAAATGCCTGTGAATGAGAATTATATCCAATGAACCACCTCTACCAGATACAGACCAATCATTTCAGATAGAACAAGCAAAGATGGCATTCCTTGTCCATAAAGAGAGCACAGGAACCAAATCAGGTTGAGTTTACTTTATGCCACATGGAAAAAAATACTGTCAAAAGACCTCACGAAAACTGCTCAAAAACTTATGTATATAAGCTCCTAAAGAAATCCATCATTAATCAGAAACAAACATGAAAAATGAAATCATTTTGACCTAGAACAGAAAAAAATGTATATCAGACTTGTTTATGTGAAAGACAAGTCCTACAATTTAATTTTCTAAGTGAGAGATTTCTCTTGTGGGATATCAAATAGAAAATATTTGGTTCATTTATGCAAGGCACAAAAAAGCAGAGAAGCCTAACAGAAACACAATCAAAGCAAAATTCCAGTTTAATTTGTAACAAATTCAGCCCTATTGTTAATTTTTGACAAAACAGCTGCCTAACAACTTACACCAATTTTAATCACATTATTTTATAATTTGCACACAAAACTTTTTGTTGCTTTTTTTCTCCCCAGGTTTCCTTTATGATGTTTGTTCTTTAAGGGGAAAAAAAAAAAAAAAAAAAAAAAAAAAAAAAAAAAAAAAAAAAAAAAAAAAAAAAAAAATTATGAAGTAAGACCACAGATAGCCAATGTCCAAGCTCCTTGTTACTCTGAAAAATCAGCTGGAAACAGTCAACCACTAAGCATGGTGTGTCTTAAATCTGCTTCAAGGAACCAGGCAAAGTTATGAGGATAATTGTGAGGCAGGAAAACAAGGCCTGGGGGCAGGGAACCCAAGGACTTCTTAGAAGTAAATCAAATGGAGGCCAGGCATGGTGGGTGGCTCACACCTATAATCCCAGCACTTTGGGAGACCAACGCAGGTGGATCACCTGAACTCAGGAGTTTGAGCGCTGCATGGCCAACATGGTAAAACCCTGTCTCTACTAAAAATACAAAAATTAGCTGGGCATGGTGGCAGGTGCCTGGAATCCCAGCTAGTCAGGGGCTGAGACAGGGGAATCGCCTGAACCCAGGAGGCGGAGGTTGCAGTGAGCCGAGATCACATCATTGCACTCCAGCCTTGGGGACAAGAGCGAGACTTCATCTAAAAAAAGGAACTAAATCAAATGGAAACACTTCAGCTATGACAGGAAATATCTTCTTCATTTACGTAGGTCATACACAGAGTAAATAACTTTGTAACTTACCTTCAGCCTATTC